ACAAAATTAACTCGCAACTATTTTGCTGATTGCTTAATATAGTAAATAATTTTAATTTTCTAGCAAACATGTAAAACTGTTGCTGGTTCCAAACCATGAGGATGTGCTGCTTTTTTAAAATCACTATCTAATAAATGATCTTTAGGTTTTTGGCTGGATACGACGATTTTTAATGCGGCACCTTGAGCTCTGGAAAACTGTGATGGACATTTTCCACTATTTTTCAAATGTACAGACACAACAGTTAATTAGTAAATTGAGAAAACAATTCTGGTTTGTGACCACAAGCCAAATATGTGATAAATTGGCTAAAATAACAAAAACAATAGTGTGATCCCTCAAAGAGAGAGGATTTTGCTGACCCAACTCTGGAGGCAGGTGAGTACAACACCTACAACAAGTTTAATACAAAGAAATTATACTGACCACAATAGCCAATTATGTGAAGTCAGCAGAGAATGATCTATGTGTGGACCACCAGTATTGTGTGTCTGTATTACAGTAGTACGCACATGAAATGCCATTTGTATCTCCAGTTCAATTCTTCCAACTAAAAGAGCAACCTAAAACCTCTGTAAAATCCATTTTCTCTCCTGAGGACCAGGGGACAACAACCTGGACTAAATTCAAAGAAGAGACAGCCACATGCACTGCAGCAAGCAAAAGGACTGCCTTGCAGTGGGACAGCAGGGGTGTGAAACCTCTGCCAGACACACACCATCCACCAGAAAGACAATTCACAGATCAAACAGGATCTGACAGACCGTTCAGACCCTGCTCAGTGTCTCCTGCAGATCGCCGAGGTCTGGGAAGCAGCAGCCGCAGCTCTCAGCCCTTCACACCTGACAACGTGATGACCAAGCAGGCGTAGATACTCACTTTATGCAAGGATTCCGGAGGTAGCTGAGACGCCTTGAACAGCTCCGCCACTTTGCTGGACGACAGGTTTCCTGAAGTGTCACCTTGGCACAGACTGTGGAGACCTGAGTAATATCTCTGCTCGTGTTCATTCAGGGAGATGAAACTCCCTGCAGACGCCACACCGGATTCCTGATCCATTCCCGGGGCTGGCGAGTGGAGAAATCACTGGAGAAGCACTACAAGCAAACAGATCGATACATCCTGCTCCGGACACCGGCTCCGGTTTCAAGTCGGAACAGGCGGAACTGGCAAGAAGACAACAGTATCGCCTCCGACAAGCGTCTTCCCCGCGCTCGACTCCGGCTCATCCACTCCCACCGCCTATTATGGCTGATTGTGGTAGTACCGGCCTGAGCCTGCTGGGGGCGGTAGAGCACAGGAAGGGGGCATTGTCTGGGAAAGAAGAGGCTCCTTTATTTCCCCCGTACAATGAAATGCTGACTTGATTTATTTTTTCCTCAGAGGGGTCACTGACGTGTCATTGTGCCATTTTCAGCTTCCTCTTACTGCAGCTGAGCAGCATTTAAGTGTTAGTTCATTCTTAAATCTGGATCACACTGTGCAAGTCATTGCTTTTCTGTGTAGCCTACTAAAAGTAAACTGAATGTGTTTTCACTATAACATCATTATTAATGTAACACCACACTGTTGTCTAAAGTACACACTGAAACCAGTTATTAGCCAGAGACAGAAGTGAAGGATGTTTAAAAGAAGGATTGTGCTAGAGAGAATGTTGTGCATTATGATGTAAAGTGATACTGTGGAACCTTTGAAATAAGAAATAAAACGCTTCCCCATTCATAAATGAAAAGTTGAATTCCTAAGCAATAAAACACTTAATTTAATAGATTAAAAACTTAGCCACACTCAAGGGTTTTGGTTAATATTATGTTATGTTAGCAAGCTTTAGTTAATGTTAGCAAACTAAAGAGATTGCTTAGACCTTTTCTGACCCTCTACTTTTGCTACTGTTACAGTAGCATTTAGCACATATTCCATAACTTCGTGCAGTAGCTTTGTTTAGGGAAAAAAAGCATTAATTTTGGACTAAGGCATTCTCCTCCATGTGTAGACCCTTGGTTCTCTCGTCTTCACTAACCTTTTTTTAAATTACTATGATTTAGAAAACAAAAAGTCCAGCACCACTTGTGCTGTTTTCAGCAACATTAATAACACGACCAACACATTTCTTCTTATTAAAGTTGCTCAAAACACTGCAAGTGTTCCTGGACCTTTGGTTTCCACTGGACCGTTTCTTTATTCCTTGTCTGTGCACCTTGACAGTGGGTCAAGTTGTGCCAGAACCTTCAGCTGTATCTGGAAATTACTATGACTTAAAATGTGTTTTGGACTTCCTCCTATGGCTCACAAGCACTGGATTCATAATACATCTGGACAGTGTCTTTATTAGACTTACACTGTCAGGTAAAATCTCTGATGACAGATTCAAGGTAATATTTTCAGCAATATCTTTGTACATCTCTTTAAGGACCCACATAAGAAATAATTTGGGCAGGTGTTCATGTACACTGCTCAAAAAATAAAGGGAACACAAGGGAAAATAAGACATTCAACTATGTAATGAACAAGGTATTTAATAAGAATATTTCATTCATTCAGATCTAGGATGTCTTATGTTGTGTTCCCTTTATTTTTTTGAGCAGTATATATCTAGATAGGCTATGTTTTGGTAATATTGCTGCTCATTTTTTTGTAAAGCTGTGTCAGTTTGAATGTATACACTGTTCAGCTGTAAAAGAAAAAGGATAAAAATACATTCAAATGTATTTTTAAAAAAGACAAAGGGATGTCTAATAAAGAAGTCTTAATACCTCTGTTATGCCTTTACTGCCATCATCTGTTCAGCAAAAATATTTGCAGTCAGTAGTATTATACCAAAAGCAATTTACAATATGTAGAAATCAGTGAAAACAAAAAGAGACCAATTTTTTTAAAATCTCATTTTATTAAAATTGTTCACTTTTTCATATTATGGAATGACTCTAAAATTGGAGAGTGACGGATTTATGTATTATGTTTTCCAAAACAGCCAAACTGTGGACAAAAGAGAAAAGAACCATTTTGTTAAAATAATCAGTCAGAGGGTGGGTGAGACTGTGGACAATGGTTTAACTGGGCTTGTATTATATTGTAAATTTAAGATGTGAAAGATGTTTTCATATTGTTTCAGCAGGTTTTTTTTTATGGAAAATCACTTATGACATAAAATGTCATAAGTGATTATAGCTTTATTGTAAGCAAAGTGCACAGTTTAACAATCATGTGGATTTTACAAGGCAGACGCTGCCTGTTGTCAGACCTAAATAGCAAACTTTATCTCTAGTGCCCTGTGTCAGCTTAGTTTCTCATAAATGACTGTGTCAGGCATCACTATATATGGTTGAACAGTTAACCAGACTGCAAGGTTGTCGGGCAGAATGGATGATTAACCCTAAATCCTGTATTCTTCTGTTCTAGGAGGGATTTACTGTTCTCTGCTTCTTTCACCTTCGCTTGGTGAATGTCTGCTGGTGGGGGCTGGGAAAAGGACCACTGTAAGGTGGACTGTTCAGCCAGTGAACATAATGAACTTACTGGGTTATGGGAGATTTGGTTTAGATTATTCAGCATTTTAGTGACTAAATGGCGTAATAGGGTTAAGGTTAGGCCTGCTACCCATGTTTAGGGAGAACTGAGAATGCAGCACAACTTGTATTGAAAATCAGCAGTTGGCACTTTAAAGGAGGCATAATGCATACTGACCTGAATATATCTGAGGTCAGAACATTAGAATCCTGTAACCTGGATCTGCCAACTCAAGTTTTTGCCCTACAAGGAATGGGATGACACTATTCTTTTACTTTACCATTGAACAGATATTGTAAGATATGGCGTTGAAAACTGGGGAAACACTTACAAAAGCTCACTTCAACCATTGTATATATTACAAAAAAGAGCGATAAGAATTGTGCATAAGATGGGGTACAGGGATCACACCAATGTAGCTTTCATACAGTCTAAATTGTTAAAAATTTTTGATTTAGGGGAATATAAGACTGCTGTGTTTATGTATAAAGCCAGGAACAATTTATTACCTGGTGGAATTCAAAAACTATTTAATGAAAGGGAAGGGGGATACAATTTAAGGGGTCAGTTAAATTATAAAATTCATGCTATACGTACAACCAAAAAAAGATTTTGTATTTCCATAAGTGGGATAAAACTATGGAATAATTTAAGTGTAGACATAAAAAATAGTAATAGAATTGATGAGTTTAAACAAATATAAAGGTATGTGTCAATCAAGATATGGGCAAGAACAGGCTTAATGATTAATTAGATGGAACATTGTGGGTGTGGTGTATGAATGTTAACACTGTAATAATTCTTTAGTATATTACTTGTGTGGTGTAGAGGATAATTATTTATCTAGAGATATTGCTTAGGACTTAAAAGTTGTAAAATGATGTCATGGGGTAGGACTAGATAAGTCTGACTTCTTCCTACTCCATTCAAGCATGTACTAGGTATAAGCAAATTGATATTGGATTATTATTGCTGGATATGTGGGAAATTACATGTGTTGACATATCAACAGTTTTTACATGCTTGAATGAATAAATCAAATCAAATCAAATCAAATCAATCAAAACAGATATTGTAAGATACCCCACTGTTTTGAAACCAGTTTGATTTGATACATGTCACACAAAAAGGAAAAACATTTGCTTTTGGATACTTTTGTACCCAACACACTGAAAGGCTATGTCAGACACTATATTGTGGTGCATAAACACATGCACATGGACAGAGCTGTTGTTTTTCACTCAGGTCTGCCTCCCTCACCTACGTATCTGGCTCCATGGAGGCTTGAACAAACAGTACCATTTAGATTGCAGCTCCCACTTCACAGTTTCCATGTGAGGACGAACTGCACCACTAACAACCAAGAAGACGTTTAGTTAATTCAGGTGTGTCCTGGCTTAACCATTAAACTCAGCCTTTATCCAGTGAAGTTCCACTGCTGACCTCCTGAAATCACTGAACACTGGAAGTTTCACATCTTGTTATTCGGGGAAATGTTGGAAAAGGTCTCTTTCCTCCTCCTGTCATTTACTTTGGCAGAACAACTATGTAAACCAGGTAAGTGACCATACTTACCAGCTTAAAGCGTAAAACTTGTGGTTGTATATTTTAAAATGTTTATCCTGCACTCTACTACCAGTAATACCGCAGATACAATATTGACTGTAAAACTGCCATTTGTTTATTGTCTATCCAGACAGTGTAGAATGCAGCTTACAGTCTCTTAACTGGAGCAAAGACAGATTAATTAAATACATAGCTCAGATATTTACCTCATAACATGGCATGGCATTCATTAGCCATCAAGCATGACCCAAAAATACATGCTACTGTATATGACTTTTTAAACCCCTATAATGAGTAACCTTTCAAGGATTTAAGTCACCAGAAAGCAATATCTCTGTGTACACACAGATCAGCTTTATCAGCACAGTGTGGAGCATTAGGCCACTATTTATTTAAAACCTAGGACATAAATGAGTGTGATGTAGATGACATTTAAAAATTGTTAACTTTATAGGTGATCCTGATGGCTACAAAGTTCGACTCAGCATCAAAACTGCTCTGGGAGAGAATGCTGTACGTATGTATTTGCTGCACAAAATGATAAAAAATATCTGATCATAAGAAACTACTTGAAGTCTTACTAAATGCTACTTCAACATACTGCTCATACAGACATTAACACGCTTATATGGTTGGAAATGTACTTAAAGTGTGTGTGACTGCTTATTATGAGGACAAGGTCCACCTGGTGATCAGTTAACATTAAACTTCTGTACTGAGCCCAGCACATGCTCTGTTGTTACAGTATGTCTGGAATGACAATGAAATGTTCCTTTTCCGAGCGACTCTGGCTTTTGCCATGACGAAACAATTCGACGGGCAGCAATTTGAGTAAGAAACAATTTCTGTGTGCTTTTTACCTGTTTCATTTTACAATACAAAAAACAAAGTTAAGAGACTTTTTGTGTGTTTATAAAACGTGCACCATATCTATAAAAGTGTACATGACATTTCCTTCATGAACATGCTATGACTCTGATGTGGTCTGTATTGTCTTGTGTAACTTTATTCAACAGAGTGTCAGACATCATTGTGTGTAATCAGACTGCCAGAGTGTCCTTCTGGTTTGTGGTGACGTATCCACATAACAAAACACTAGTTGACAAACAAGTTGTGGAGCGGGCTGTGAGGTAATCAATCATGTGATACAGTTATACTGTAGTTCTCTTGAAAATCACTGTTTGAAACCATTATACTTCCCCTAACTCCTGTCCAGAGAGGTCAGAAATCATGTTCAACTTTGACATTTAGAGCCCATTTAATGCCTTATGTTGTGTGTTTAGTACTGATGTAATATTTTTCTCTTTAATGTTATAGTGATAAGTGTCTTAATAGGTAGTAATTTTAGCTGTAAATGTTTTGCTACTCACTGTAAGTGCAGCCATTAATTGATTATACAGTTTTTTCACATGCATCGCAGAACTAGCAGTGCCAAGGTGATGACTAAAGGTGCTCTAGATAAGCAATCAAAGTATAATCTCTTGGTTACAAAAATGTATTTTCCAGAGCAATGATTTAGTTTTGCTGTGTGAAAAGAGGGATAAGCACAGAGTAACAGTAGCACAATTGGAAAAGACTCACACTGACTCAATCAGTTACACAGGAAGCTTTCTCAAAAGAATGCTAACATTAGCCACCATAAACTACTGATCGTGCAGACCAGGTAAGACATAGCATTAAAACGCCTACATATACAGAGCTAAGGAAGTGCTGCATTTGGTTATGGATTCAACTTTTAACTTTTAGGACTATGAAGAAGAATATGTTATGTGAATGTTACTTCACTAGGCTTCCTATAATTAACAACTATTAGCTCTTACCATAACATTCAGTTGACCCAATTAAATATTCAGTTCACCATAATAACTAATATAGATACTAGTAAATTTGATTTAGAATGTGCAGCACAGCTTTTTCTTGGGTATTATAGGTCTTGAAACACAAATAAAAAGGGGGGCAACAACTTGAATGAGATTGTGTACAACATCACCTACCTGTGAGGTGCATCAGAGACAGTGCTGAAATAGCAAAGCTCCAGGACTTGGTATCATGAACATATTATGATACTACAGTGTCTGTAGTGATTAGTGAAGCAAGAGGATCCAGGGGAAGCTGCCAGAGAAAAACCTTGTTCAGTGTGCACTTGAACCTTCATGAACTGATAGATGCTTGGAGCATCACTGGCACACACCTGTATCAACATATGCAGCAAAATGTGACTTGTGACAGGCACATGCCAGCCTGAATATAGTCAGTATTCATAGCACAACAACATCAGAGCATGGTAGACTCTTACAAATAAAATAGCAGAAAACATTAATTTGGAAATTGACTCAAGGCTGTTGTTGCAGTCAAAGTAAAGAAAACAACCCAACACGGAGTGAAACCCATGCTCAGATGACAGGAAATCCGTGAAGTATTTCTCTAATGTACTGTAAATACATCTGAATACTTTTGTCCATTTTAAATCTAAATGTCTTGCTCATTAGAAAGTCCAGGAATCGCATCAACAGCGCCTTCCTGCTAAGTGATACGACTCTGGAGTTTATCGGCATCCCTCCCACCCTGGCAACACCAGTCAACCCCTCCACACCAACATGGCTCATTGTGTTTGGGGTGGTCATGGGGGCTGTGTGTGCTGGCATCATCGTTGTGCTTGTGGTCTCTCTAGTCCAAAGGAAACGGTGGGTAGAAGACTTTAGATGCATTTTCTTCATGATTTTGTTAATGTGATTATTGATCAGTCATGTTTCTGACTTTTTATTCTAGCAAAAAGAATGAGACAAATGAAGACACTCAGGTGAAAACAGTGGAAAATGGTGCTGCCAGAGATGGAGTTTACTACATGTCATTCTCAGAGGATGAATCATCAGTCACACAGATGTGATAAGCTTTGATTACAACTCTTCTGCAAAAGCAATAGGATGGGGAAATGTTATTAAGCTGCATTCAGGTGGACTGTTTTTGTGCTGTAAAAAATGGATTAGCAAAATCATTTTGAAGTTGTACTTTGTTATTGCATTACTTATTTTTCAACAACTGCTAGCCTATAGTTTAGTTGCTTAGTATATTTAATCTGCCTTTTCTTTTTCAAACTTTTGACTGAAGTTCCTAATCTGCTGTCAGTAGATCCTTTTGCTATTTGTTTGCTGTCATCTTCTTTCTTTGTTCCTGACTGCACAGTGACAGTGAAAAACCCCTAGGGTCAGGGGTTCAAGTGCACAAAAAATTTAAGGTGTGTACCTTAAATTAAACCACATTGGAGTAATGATTTTCATAATATGTCCAAACTGAAGAATAGATTGCAATTAGCAATTGCAAAAATTATGGAAAATATAATAAGCGATGTGCACTGTTCACCGAATATTCCTTATTTCTGAACCATTAGTTGAAACATTAACATAATGTTACTGTAGCTTTTTTCTTCTGTTAGGGTGAGGAATAACATGATGGTAGGAGCTACTGCAGGCTGGTCTCTGGAGGTGTAACATTCAGCCACTGATAAAGATCCACATCTATTCTCTTTCTCAGAACTGACATACTGATGATTGCTGACCTAATATGGCAAAATGTACATTTACAGTATGATCTAGGCAGGGAGATAAAAACAAATCAAACTCTAAGATGAAAAATGGTTAAAGGGCCTTTATGCTTCTTCTTCTTGTACTTTCAGAGCTGTAAGATTGTATATTAAACAAGCCGCTCACTCAGCGGCTACAGCACGTCTGCGTGACAATACAGCATCTTTACTACAGAAAAACAAAAAAGAAGCGAAAGTTAAACACCGT